GAAGGTAGGCTAGGTTTGTGTCCCCACGAGTAATCTTCTCTTTCAGAATGCTCCACCGCTCCTTATAGCTAAGACATTTGGGGAGACACTTCCAAACAGAAAGTAACCTGAGAGACTAGCCCCCCAAAATGATGGGGAGGTAGGAGTTTTCTCCATGGTCCTGAAGGAAGGGGAAGGAACAAAAACAGTGAGAACAGATCAACATTCCTGAATTCCGAAAGGCAGGGGAACTGCGAAGGTTGGCGTGCGGGGTTATGCCCCAGCCACCCTTGGGAGGTCCCTCTCAGTGAGGGAACAGAAGGCCAGAGCAGGTGGCCGGTCAGCAAGCACAAGGATCCCTGCAGCCACCAGCCTCGCTGCGCTGTGGCCCTGCAGGGGGGTGGCTCTGGGACTTACCTCTGTGACATCGAGCAGTGACCACCCCGGGAACCACAAAGAATACATCTCCAAGCAAGTCCAGAAAACTGTCTCGAATTTCAAACAGAGATTGCTCGCCATGGAAGTATTCATTAGCCACGAAGTGTAGATACTGGATGGGAATGTGCTGCGAAAGATGATGGTCACAGAGATCCAGGTCAGTGACAGCAGCCCACACGTGAGGCATATGCCTGTGCAAGCATGATTCCACATGCTCCACAAGCACTGCCTCATTGAATCCACACAGGAAGCCTGTGGTTCAAGTGTCAAAATCAGCCCATTTCACAGATGAGGAAACTGAGGCTTGGAGAGATTAAGTGGTTTGTGCAAACTGGTGGAATCGTGATTCTTTCACAAGTCTATTTGCATCTCAGTCCCATGCTCTTAATCGCAGTACACATGTCTCTCTGAAATGTTTCAAAGCAGCTACCCTTGGGCAGAACTGGCTACATCATTTGAGGGACCCAGTGCCAAGTGAAAATGCTCAATGCCAAGTGAAAAATTGTTTAAAAATTACAAGAATTTCAAGATGGTGACAACAGAACACCCAACCAAGTGTAGGTCCCTTCTGAGGATAATGCGCCCCCCCTTTTTTAATATATCTTTATTGACTTCAGAGAGAGGAAGGGAGAGGGAGAGAAACATCAGTGATGAGAGAGTCATTGATCGGCTGCCTCCTGCACGCCCCCTGCTGGGGATCGAGCCTGCAACCTGGGCATGTGCCCTGACAGGGAATTGAACCGAGATCTCCTGGATCCTAAGTCGATGCTCAACTGCTGAGCCACATCAGCAGGGCAAGGCCCTTTTTGACTACACAGGTCCCACACCCATGAAGCCAGCCCTACTCCCGGTACCAGCACTGCCTCCAGGCCTTTGTTAATTGATCTAAGCTAGTTGGTCTCTTGGAGTTCCCTCATCTACCAAAAAATGGGTATTCAGAGGATGACACGCGATGCAAAGAGAAAACCTTGCTGGTAGAGAGCAGGTCTTTAGTTCTTTTGGTTCCCTGAGACCCATGGCCAAGTCCTGTAGCAGGGCATTCCATGCTCTCCTTGACCTGGTACCAGGCTGCCTCAGTCTGTAAGCCCTCAGCTCGCCCCAAGCACAGATGCTGGAGGGTGGAAGGTGAATCCATGAAGGTTCATGCCTGTCACGTTGGTGATGTTCTCAGGGGTCTGGTACTCTGTAGAATGCTGAGACAAGTTGTTGCACTTCAAACTCCCAACTCTAACAGAGGCACAACCCCTCACAGGTTTCCTTGGCATTTGGAGGCACCACATACCACACCACGAACCACTGCTCAGACTTGTCCATCGGGCCCTCCGAAGGCCAACTGCTTTTAATCAGGCCCAGAGCAAGTAAGGGCTCTGCAGCAGGTCCTGGCTCGGGTGCGAGTTCCTCCCACCTGGACCATATAACCAGCAGACCCCTCCATGCTCGAAGTATCCAAGGTGGGTACAGAAGCTGTGTGGAGCCTCTGGTGAGCCCAACAGGGCAGTCACAGTTCAGGCCCCTGGGTCCTGGAGCAAGGCTATGCCATCTGCACCAGGTAGAACTTACCATTTAAAAAGTACCTCCTGGCATGCAACTGGGCCCCAGGAGGGACTGCAGGCTCTTCAGGTCCTCATGCACCTTCCCACACACCCCACTTCCTGCTCCTGGGACCCAGTTCAAGATACCTTTTCTTCCTGAAATGTCCTCCTGCTCAGATATTCCCCTTCCCGAGGCCCACATCAATGACTTCTTCCTTGGTGAGGCCATCTCCAATCCAGCCTGAGGGATTCTACTGTGCAACTTATATTTTAAATATCTCTCGAACTTTAGTCCCAACTGTCATCACCAGGTAGCCAAGATTAATCCAACATCCCATCTAAGCCTGAGGGCCTGAGGGGCCCCTGCCTCCACTCTGGTCCCCTCTGCAGCCACAGGACTCTCAGATGGATATTGAATCATGTCACTCTTCCGTTCCCAGCCCCTGGGATGAACTTTCTATTCCTTCCATGATGTATAACAGCCACAAGCATCCTCCTCTGCTGCAGCCAACCCCTTGCGCTGATCTCTTCACACTGCTCTGCCCCTAACTGGCTCTCGTAGTTCCTCCGGCTCCCCTCACCCCTGCCCCTGAATCCACCAGACAAACCTAACCCATCCTCCAAAAGCCTTCCCCGGGTGAGCCATCTGCTCCCTCCTGCAGACACCGTGGGCCCCTGGACATCCTTCTGTCTTGATTGGCATAGCAACGCACTGAAGTGTCTCATCGGGTCTGTCCACCCCACCGTCTACAGGTTCTGCAAGTGCAGGGGACATGCCTGCTTGTCACTGCACCCCAGGGCCTAGCGAAGTGCTGGGGCATGGGACGCTCAATAAACATCTGACCAATGAATATGTGAGTGAAACGAACCTGGCACGGAGCACACGCAGAATAAATGTTTATGGAAAGATGAGAGGGAGGAAGGAAAGGGATCCATCTCTACATCCTCGTGTCTGGGACGCATATGTGCAGGGAGTGAACGAATAAATGTTAAATCGTGCTCCTCAGTATTGCAGGAACCTAGTCTACCGCCTGGTTGGCAGGTAGTGAATATGAGCCTTGGTCCCGGGTAGGTTTCGGAATTCAGAATTTACTTACCAGGATTGTGTGCAACAGGTGCAGGGCGAGGGACTTGTTGGAGCCCCTGAGGATCTCAGGAAACTCCTTCTGTGGAGAGAAGAGGGCACCTGTGAGCACATCAGGTCATTGAAAGGGAAATGGTCTTTGTGAGGGCCCAGGCACCCACCTTTCAGAAGGGAGGCTGGGAAAAGCAGGAACCCTTTCAGCCCCCAGGGGTCCATGTGTGGAAGCAGCCTCAGCGGGTTGGTTAAGCAATGGTTTCTCCTCACGTTTGATGAAAGGCGGCCATTCCCTATTACACCTGTAGTCTTGTGGGACCTTAGCAGCTTCCCTGTGGAAAGGCCATGTAATGGGCTGCCTTAACCCCAGGACCTCAGAATGTGACTGTGAGTGGAGACAGGGTTATTAAAGAGGAGATTAAGTTAAAATGAGGACGTTAGGTTGGGCCCTAATCCAATCCGACTGGTGTCCTTATAAGAAGAGGAAATTTGGACATGCAAAGAGAAAACAGAGTTGTGCGCACAGAGAGAAAAGACCATGTGAGGACACTGCTAGAAGGGAGCCGCCTGTAAGCCAAGGAGGGAGGCCTCAGAAGAAACCAAACTGGCCAGCGCCTTGAACTTGATCTTGAACTTCCCAGCCTCCAGAACTATGCGAAAGTAAATTCCTGTTGCTTAAGCAACGCAGTCTGTGGTGTTTTGTTATGGCAGCTCTAGCAAATAATACAGGCCACAGCTTGGCTTCGACACTAAGTTCAAAGAGAAGCCAGAGAATCTCAAGACTAGTGGTTTGCTCTTTACTTTCCAAAGACTTTTGCAATCAGGGCCTCTAAGAAGCCAGCAGCTGGCAGGCAGTTACTGAAGTGGTGAGGCTGGCGGTTAAGAACACAGGCTCTGCTTGGTACACAGTAAGAGCTACGAGAAATTATTTGTTAAATGTCCCCTTCCTGGCCAATATTACAGTTTAAAAATGAGGGGGTAAAAATACTATTCACTTGTCAAATGAATTTCCCTGGCACATTTCCTGCTAAAAATCTTGGGAGGAATGAATCACTAGGGTAGATATTTAAACATATTTGTCTCCTGGAATATGAGGGAAGCCCCATAGTTACTGAAGTTGTCCACAAGCATATTTAACCTCTAAGGACCCTCTCTGTATGTTCAGAAGCTGGGATTTGTGGCCACCAACTTGACAAAGCTCTGTAATTCACCAGCTCATTTCCCCCAGCTTGAGAGGAGGTTGGTCTACATGAGTGAGCTGTGATGGTGGGAGGAATTCGAACACTCCACTCTTCCGAGGACAGGTCTAAGTTTATTTCAAAGGTGGAGGGTCTTCTCAAACCACAAGGTCAAGGAACCGTGGCTCCCCAGCACTCAGGCCTCAGCTCAGATGATCCTTCCTCAGGGAAGCCTTTCCCGACCACCTTTTCTCCCCCTGAGGCAGCTCTCTCCCCCAGCGCCCGTCCTTCACAGCCCTCACTATTCGCCGAGACCATCCTCTCAGCCTCGCATTTCATCTGCCTCTGCCCTCAGAATGGAGGCATCAGAAAGCTGGAGCCGTGTGACTTGGTCACTGTCAGGTTTTATAAGAGCTCATGTTTTAGAAGAGCTCAGAGCTTAAAGTAAGTGCTCGGTTCATCCTTATTGAATGAATGAAGTGAGTCAATGCTTTTGCAACTCGCACCAGCTTAGAGAACATTCTTCGAAACCCAGATGCTAGAACTGAGGCTGAACATCATGAACATGTAAAGGCCTGAAGTTTTCTGAACCTACATGGATTTCACCTCTGAAGTAGTTACTGTGCTTATTTGAAATGAGAATTTGTCATGTTTTGAACAAAGCTCAAATGGATCTCATCGTCTCTTCGTGTTTTATAGAGTTCTTTCTCCATAAACCTAATGAGGGGCAGGGTGAATACCTGCTGTGAATGACCCTGATCCCCAGTTACCCTTCTTCAGAGGGAGGAACAATGACTGTCGTGTACTCCGCTGATGGGCTCCAGCCCTCACAACACTTGTGTCGTCTATGAGAGTGACCTGCTGTGGGAGCAAACCCCTGCCTCACTGTGGAGGGAGCGACGGGAGGCAGAGACGAAATTCTTACCATGGGCAGCAGGAAGCCACACTCGTGGTTATTGACTCCAATGATAGAAGGAACTGGATTAAATGTTTTTTGATTCAATAGTTCTAGAGGCTCATCAGGAAAGAAAACACCATCAACCACTCGAGTGAAAGACTTGGTTCCCTGAAATAAGAAAAATCAGAAGCTGTCTCTGTCCACAAAATCTGCAGCCCCCAAACCCTAGCCATGCTGAGCCAACCCACTCTAGCAAAATGTGGTGAGAAAGGAAAAGGAAGCCACTCTTGGCCCATCCCAATGCATCCGTGCTGCCTGGGCAAGGGGGTCAACTCCTCTGTGCCTTAGTTTCCTCCTCAGCTAATGGCAGGTAAGAATAGCATCTACCTAATTGAAAAACAGCCTAGCACAGTAGTTCTCAAAGCATGGCTCCCAGACCAGCAGCATCAGTGTCACCTAAGAACTTGTTTGACATGCAAATTCCCAGGTCCCACCCCAGGCCTACTGAATGCAAAGCTCTGGGGGTACAGTCCAGACAACTTTTTCAAAACAAACCCTGCAGGTGATTGTGATACGTTCAAGTGTGAGAACCACTGGCCAGATGCAATGGGCAGAGTGGTGAGGGGAGAGGACGGCCAGGGCAGTGAGGGTTGGTGTGAACGCCTTCCTACAATGTCCTACTCAGCGCTGTCCCCTGGATCAGGCTGCATATTTCTTGGGTCTCAAGAAGCAACATTTGGGCTCTATTCTTTTTTTTTTTTTAGGTCTTTGTTTGGAAGTGGGTTAGACACTTGTCCACTTCCCAGACTTCAGCATAGCTCACAGCAAATCCTCAATTTATGCCAAATAACCATTTAACAACTGTTGGAATCTGACAGATAATGACCTTGCTCTTCCAAGGACTGTCAGAAGCTCTCAAGGTCAGAAGGGACATAAAAGATCATTCAGTCCAATGAATCATTCAGTGGCTGAAATTTGTCATTGGGACCCTTCCTGCACCGCCCCTCCCCCCCCCCAGGTGGGTGTCTCACTGCCTTCTAAAAGAGCAGATTCTTTTTTCAGAGTGTTTAGAAAGTTCTTGGTCGTAACAAGCCACAATGGCTTCCTAACAGGACTTCCAGCTCTTGATCTTGACTTTAGCTTCCAGGGTCTTATGAAACAAGTATGGTCCCTCTTCCTAGTGAGATGCCTTCAATGAATGAGACACAACTTTTGCAATTTGTATTTTGCTGAATCTTCTCCAGGCTAGGTAGGCACTCCTGGCCAATCAAGTTCCTTAAATTACCTGCAAGGGTCCTATAGTCCACATTTTTATAGCCATTATATGAATTCCCAGCCCCCATCTTTCCAAGTCCGAGGTCAAAATAAATAAGAGCGGTAGGGTTTGTCTAGCACTCCATTCAAAGGGCAACCCTGCCCCCAAGCCCTCACTTCCCCCTTCACCTGGCTGATGGTCAGCAACTCCTGGGAGGATTTTGCCCTCAGGCACCGCAGCAGGGCCTCGGAGTCTGTGGCACTGCAACCACACATCATTGCAATGGCCTGCAACTATTTGCAGAGAAGGACCAGGTTAGAGCACAGCACTGAAAGCCTCCAGGAAAACAAATATTGGCAAGAGTCCTCAATCCAGCCACAGGCCAGTCCTTCCTGTATGACATCCAGCCTGCTGGCCCTCCCCACTCTCATGTCCCTGTAGCAGAATGGACACAGTGAGGACAGGTTGGCCATGGATCACCTTTACTCTCTTACCTGACCCTCTTTGTCATCTTTAGCAATTGCTAGAACTGGGGGTGAGGATTTGTCAGCCTGTGGCCTGTGGCCATGGAATAGAGTCAAGATTCCTGGTCATGGAGTGACCTGTGATGTTGGATCCATTGGCACTAGGCCCCACAGAGCTCATAAGCCCAATTCTGGGGTGCCAAATGGAGTCAGGAGCCCCCAAGGGTGAGGAGCAGCTTTGCAAGGTCTGTTGAGACATGAGTCCAGCTCAGAGTCTGGCTGGTCAGCTCTGCTCAAGCACCCACACCCCCAGCCTGGAATGCCCTAATGTCTTTTTTCTGTCTCTTCACCAATTTCACTCACTCTTTAGGACACAAGTCTCACCTACCTCCAGGATGTCCTTTCAGACCACTGCAGCCTCTACGAATCCTTTCCTCCTCTGATCTGACACCCCAAGGATCTCCGCCTTCTCTACCTAGCCCTTTGCTAAACACCTTCTTGCCCTGTCACTGAACTTTCCACATGTGTAGAATTTGTCCCTTGAAAGTGGTAGTCCTTAATCTTCCGGGAGTCATGGATGCTCTGAGAAGCCAATGAAAGCCCAGACCCTCTCCCTGGGAAAATGCACAAACATTCAGAGTCTACATACAATTGTAGGAGTTTGAGGAGCACCCCCAAACATATCCATGGGTTCCAGGTTTAAAATCCTTGTCATAAAATGATTATAGTCTTCTCAGCTTAGTATACGCCTTCTCCACCTATAAACCCAGGGGTCCTAACATAGAGTGGGAAAGTCATGGGCACTCCATGTGTGTGGTGAATGACACACACACTGAAACTAGCTTGATATATCACGTTTCCAAAATAAATTTCCCTCTGTATGAGGGTATTTTTGCAACATTATGATTCCGTTTCTGCTCTTGGTGTATGTTATTTTCATAAGGTATTTAAGAAAACGTACCAGTAACATGAATAATACCCAGGATGGCGCCACAACCCAGTGTGTAATTAATGTTCATTAAATGAATCAGCTCATTCATGAACTCACTCACTGAGCAAACATTTATAGTTGCTTAATGCACACCACACATTATGCTGGGACTTGAAAAATACGGAGATCTTGGTCTCCAGGTCCTTATTGTCTGGTAGAATGCAAGGACAAGATGACAGATAAAGAATATCTGGGGCATACACCTCCCCTCCCCCTCCCAATTTCATGCCAGACAATATAAATAAGTCACAGGGTTATTTCCTGCTGAGCTGGAAACAGCACCAGACTCTCATTAGAGCACTCTGGGTGGAGTAGAGCAGGCACAGGAGGTGAGCTGTACATAATGCAGGGGACTAAGATACATGCCACAGGCAAAGCATAATGGATACGAGTGAGAACTGTCACACGCAGACACACGCACACGCACACTCGTGCACGCCAGCGGTACTGCATTGTGCACCTGGACCCCTTTCCTATTGACGCAGGCCTTCCACGGAGCAGCAGGGTTCACCTCAGGCCAGCATCGGACCCTCTGGCCAAGGCCAGTAAGGCCAAGCACATGGTCTGTCAACCCCTGCCCGAGGAGAGGTGTTAACATGTACCTACATCTCTCTCCCTCTCCTTAGCGGGGGCCTTCAGGTAAGGGAGGATGGCCGCCCCGCTCTCCATGATGGCTTTGTGGAACAAGTCCCGGGCCAGCGGGGACAGAATCTGGAGAGAGAGCACAGGAGACCCAGCAAAGTTACCCAGGGGGCTTCCCACCCATCACACGCCACCCATCCCTTCTTTAAAGAAAACTTCCCAGGACGCCTCCTTAAGAGAGCTAACCCCGGAGAACAAAAAGTCCTGGCTCGGGGGCTTCTAGGACTAGTTGTGAAGGTTTGGGCAAGTTACATAACCTCTCTGGGGGCCAGGCTCCTCGTGAACTGCGAAGTCGAACATTCTGGCGTGCGAGGCTAGCGCCTTTCCTTCCGGCAGGGTAACCCCAGGCACGCTGCTGAAAATTTCTGAGCATCGTTTACTTTCTTATAAAACCAGGGTGAAAACTGAGCCCGCATCACAGGCTTGCTCTGAGGAGCAGCAGGAATGAATATAGAAGGCTTAGCACGTGCTTGGTTAAGCCATAAGCACTCATGGAATGGTGGCTGCTAGCATGTATGTAAAGTTAATATCATCCACCTTCTAAGGTCATGCTCGAGCTAAAGAACACCTTGTATATTGCCCAGTGTTGCACAGCAGAAGCTCACCCCACCTCCATGGAACTGACTTCTGTGGCTGACATGTTACCCAGCGCCCAGGACGTCCTGCCCACTCGGCGCTCAGGGCCGGTGAGCCCCTCCCTGGCACCTCTGCGTGTCATCTCAGCTCCCACCAGTTTCTTGCCAAGAGTCAGCCGTGCTTGTTTGCAAACCCGTTTTGTCAGTTACACTTGCTGTTGTAATTACATAATCAATGAACTATCATGGGAACCACTGGATGTGTTTGTGTAAAAAGAAAACAAAATGATGTTTCAGGGGGGAAAACCTTGATAGAGGCAGGTAGCCAAACACTATGGCTATCAAATTAGGGGGTGAACAAAATAAGAGTAAATCACATGGGGGGATGGAAAACTCTGTAAGGGGGCTGCACCCGCAGACTGCTTTGCAGGCGTCCGTAAGTACGTGTTCACCGGAAGGACACCGACCCCACAATGTGAGGGCCATGGGTTCTGTGGGTGGCTTATGCAGGAGAGCCATGCTGGACCTCCAGTCAGCAAAGTGACTGGAAAGATAAGACCCTGTATCAAACTATTGGCGAAGAGATGTACATTTTCTGTTTTAAGTTAAAATAAAATGTTTACATGCATCCTTTGCTATTTGATGCTTTTAGCTGAGCTTTTCTAGCCAGTGATGACCAGTCCTGGTAACTGGATACCAGGGCTTCAACTGTACAGACATAAATGATTTTCCCTCAAATTATCACTCACTATGTGGTCTTGAGTGATTCATTTAACCTCTCCCATGAAAGCTCTCACCCTTAAAATGAGACGGAGCCCCTAGCTCACGGTGTGAGGCTCGAGGGAGACAATGTGTGTAAAAGTGTTCAACATGAAGCACCAATGAGATGTGTAAGTGGTTTATCTGCTTCATTTCTGTGCCCTCCCCTACTGAGGTTCATTCAAGTCCCAAAGAAGAACTCACAAGGCTGGACACACTTATGGCTCCTGCTGACTCGCCGAAGATGGTCACAGAGCGTGGGTCTCCACCAAAGAACTGGATGTTCTCCTGGACCCAGGTCAGGGCAGCCAGCTGGTCCATGAAGGCCCAGTTCCCTGGAGCGTGCTGGTCCCCTGTGCTAGGAGCAAGAGGCGTTGAGAATGCTCAGTGGGCCGCTGTCTGCCTCCTGCAGCCCAGGGAGTTGGTGGCAGAGGCTGTGGGCAGATGTCAGGGCATCATCACTCCCACTGGGGAAGGGCTGAGAATCAGAGACCTGGGGCGGTGGGGGAAACCAGGCCTGGTTCTCTCCCTCTGCTGGAATTTGGGTTTGAGAATCTGAGGAAAGCTATACACCCCAGAAAAAGGCATAACAATCGTGCATGTGCAAGCTCAGGGTATTCATAGGCTCCCCTGAATCCATGGATTTCAGAAGTGTCCTGCTCCTGAGAGTTGGTCTGCACCAGGGAGCGAGACCTCCCTGGGCACAGAGTTTCCAATGAACGACCAAATGAGCAATAACTATAATAACAGGAGGGGCAGCACTGTGAGTGACACTGTCCTAAGGGCTTTACGGCTGATGCTCCCATAACCCTGCCAACCTGTGAGGTAGGTGGTGCTCGGTTCTTTCCCTCTGCCCCTCTGGGTCTTAGCCCCCCTTCTCCACTCTCCTCCAAAGGCTGACCTCCATGACCCGCAGCACCTAGGCTGCGGCTGTGAGCAGTCAGCGGGAGGCACTGGCCAGGGCCTTGGGG